CAGTTCGTAGAGAAGATGGATTTGCTGTATTTTAAAACAAGTAACTCGGGCCCAGTTCGTAGAGAAGATGGATTTGCTGTATTTTAAAACAAGTAACTCGGGCCCAGTTCGTAGAGAAGATGGATTTGCTGTATTTTAAAACAAGTAACTCGGGCCCAGTTCGTAGAGAAGATGGCTTTGCTGTATTTTAAAACAAGTAACTCGGGCCCAGTTCGTAGAGAAGATGGATTTGCTGTATTTTAAAACAAGTAACTCGGGCCCAGTTCGTAGAGAAGATGGATTTGCTGTATTTTAAAACAAGTAACTCGGGCCCAGTTCGTAGAGAAGATGGATTTGCTGTATTTTAAAACAAGTAACTCGGGCCCAGTTCGTAGAGAAGATGGATTTGCTGTATTTTAAAACAAGTAACTCGGGCCCAGTTCGTAGAGAAGATGGATTTGCTGTATTTTAAAACAAGTAACTCGGGCCCAGTTCGTAGAGAAGATGGATTTGCTGTATTTTAAAACAAGTAACTCGGGCCCAGTTCGTAGAGAAGATGGATTTGCTGTATTTTAAAACAAGTAACTCGGGCCCAGTTCGTAGAGAAGATGGATTTGCTGTATTTTAAAACAAGTAACTCGGGCCCAGTTCGTAGAGAAGATGGATTTGCTGTATTTTAAAACAAGTAACTCGGGCCCAGTTCGTAGAGAAGATGGATTTGCTGTATTTTAAAACAAGTAACTCGGGCCCAGTTCGTAGAGAAGATGGATTTGCTGTATTTTAAAACAAGTAACTCGGGCCCAGTTCGTAGAGAAGATGGATTTGCTGTATTTTAAAACAAGTAACTCGGGCCCAGTTCGTAGAGAAGATGGATTTGCTGTATTTTAAAACAAGTAACTCGGGCCCAGTTCGTAGAGAAGATGGATTTGCTGTATTTTAAAACAAGTAACTCGGGCCCAGTTCGTAGATAAGATGGATTTGCTGTATTTTAAAACAAGTAACTCGGGCCCAGTTCGTAGAGAAGATGGATTTGCTGTATTTTAAAACAAGTAACTCGGGCCCAGTTCGTAGAGAAGATGGATTTGCTGTATTTTAAAACAAGTAACTCGGGCCCAGTTCGTAGAGAAGATGGATTTGCTGTATTTTAAAACAAGTAACTCGGGCCCAGTTCGTAGAGAAGATGGATTTGCTGTATTTTAAAACAAGTAACTCGGGCCCAGTTCGTAGAGAAGATGGATTTGCTGTAGTTGTCAGTTTACGGACAAATAAAGTCGAAAAGCATTAATCACAATATGTTTTAGGCTGTCCCAAAATTTCGGATTCTTTTTCTGGAGTTTGAAATTGGCGGGAATTTTAAAACTCTCGTTGTGGCCTGGTACCAAACCAATATTTTCAGCGCAGAGTTTTAGCGCGCGCCGAGAGCACACGCGTATTTTTGCATTGAAGTCGCGCGTTATTTGCACGTGCACTTCTACAGATTAAAATTAGGAGAGGGCCCTTACTGCTTACATTACTAAGTTGTTATGTAGTAATATTGTGAATTTGTCCGAAACTGGAAACAAATCTTGTAAAATTTTACGAATAGAAGTTATAGTATTACTTGACTGTAAAAATTTACTGAGTTTCACTTCCATATTTCAGGATCCGACCGCTGATATTAAAATTGAAGAGTTAGATTTCATTGGAACATAGAATTACTGTAATGGAAAATAAAACAGGTCTTGCTGAGGATGAAGAAATGTTATGTGGGGAGAAAATGGGCTACTGGAAGTGGACCTTCTTAAACAAAGACGACTTTCACAAAATGTTTAAAAGATCACGGTCGCGGCATCGAACCCTGGACGCTTCCCCTGCCACGGTCAGACACTCGAGATTAGTACTAGTAGTGTGCGCTACTCGAGCTGTTGATATATGAGTTCTTCGGTGTTATTTATATAATTGTAATATGTAATGACTGACAGTGCGAGATATCTTTTTTTGTTTCTATTTGATGTGTTTAGTGTTTTTGTTGCATTCTAATATAAACCGCGTATTAGTTTCGTGTCAATTTTAAATTTGATAAGTTTATCTTTAAACTGTATTTATTAGCAGTAATAGTTACATTTTGGTATTACACCTATATTTATTATTGTAATACTGTTGTATAATGCTGTTTCTTCCTCATTGTAGCTTACATATAGGATAGCATACTTTGCTCTAATTTTTAATCACAGTTGACAATACTTGATTAGGGTTAATGATTGTACGCGTTTGAAATCTTGATTTGATATCATTATAACCTTTACTAATGTTCAGATGAATGAATTTGATGTTTTATTTTTCCACGGCACTATTGAAAATCCTTTAAGGGATAGAATCGGCACTGTCAAATATCTTTAAAAGGTTGGTAAACGGAATTACAGTTGATCTCCTGACAAATTTATGTCGAAAATTTGTTTTAACACGCGCAGCAATATGAAGCCCGCGGCTTTCGCCGGGGTGCTGGGGTCCTCAGGTAACGCGCTACAATAAACATAAGTACAAAGCTGTATTATGTTTTGAAAATTATCTACCCCACAGTTAATTGACGATGTCAATTCATGGCAGCTCGGCGCGGCACAGTAGCGCATCTCGCCGATCTAGCCAGAAGCCTTTTTTTGTCTCTGTGAGAAGCCTTTTTAAGTGCGCGGCGCGGCACAGTATAAACGCATCGAGTTACAACCCCACAGTTTAGTTTTAAGCCGCGCCATATAGTTGTATAAGTGGTCCCGCAAAATTTAAATATTGTTCGATGATTATTCACTCAATACTGTGTACTGGATTTTTTATTGAATACAGCATGAATTAAATTTGTTGATAAACCAGTATAGCAATGATGGTAGAGGTATCAGTTTTGAGATGAGCTGGTCGATTGCTTACTTGTTACTAAAACTGCTCGTTCTAAGAAAATATATCTGCAATGTGCAATCTTCTTTTGAATCACATAAATAAATAGACGACTGATATTCGTTGGATTCCCAAACAGTTGAAAGTATGTACCCAAACAATCGCCCATGTATTGGTATGTCCCATACACGACGGTAGAGTGAAGTAAACTAAGTAAAACAAAATTAAGCGCTTAATGGTGCCAGACGCTTATCCATTGCTCATTCTATCTTACATACTGTCGTGTGGAAGCCGTGGATCAGAACAATTGTTACAGTGCACTACTGCGTACGTGTATCGAAGGGCAACCTTTCAAGATTCAATATCTTTTGGCAGGGTCCTTACTCCTTCTCCATTCAGCTCTCAATCATTTGATTTGATTGATTGAGGAGCACTACCCGAATGCATTACTCGGCACTAACGCCTTAAAATCTTTAATTACAATCGAATATAAATATATGCACACAATGTATAAAATATTAATAATGTATAAAATATGATTATGCTATTAGCAAATTTAAATAGTACTATTAAGAATTTTAAATAACTCTTATCTCTTGACTTAAATTCAGAACAGCGATACAGGGTCTGAAGAATGCGCGGTGATATTTGTATCTTTTAAAAGTTGTTAATGACAGTGAAATTGCGCGGTATCGATAGCATTGTAAAAAATGATCGAAGATAGTCATATTTCGTTATGAGGTTAAAGTTTTGTTGCTCGTTATTATGATCGACGTATGTTGTACCAAATTATTTAAATTTCTAAAAGTACGAAATTTGAGTTGTTCCAGTCCTTGTCATCCGGGTAAAGTTCTTGTGCAGTAAGCACATGCTTGCTGACTGTAGACTTGATTGAATCATGGCTTTCCTGACCATTTAACTGATTCAACTCTTGGATTGATGGCTCAAGAGGCTGTGAGAAATATCTCACTCAAGTCAGAAAATAGAAAGCTGCATTTTGTTCTATTTGATCTTTGTATCCAAGTATCTATGCATATTGTTCTAACGTTGTAGAAGTAATTGTTTATTAACAATTTTAATGCAGTCACGTCACTCAGATAGGTTTTATACATTTTAACAAGGAGCGTTTTCATCGACATGACACATTCTGCCCACAATAAGGAACCATAGTTGTTTCAACAATCTGAGTGTATAGATTTATTATTTTTATTCCGTACAGTGCATGGTAATGTACTGTAAACCATACTGTACTGTATCGAATTAGTTACCATCCGATCACAAGGCCGTTCTAATAACCACTAGCCATCAATTGGACCCCACAGCCCTGTACCAGAGAGATCTAGTGTTGCCTTTTCAGAAGGGTGCCCCTCTTCCGAATTGTAGGTCTTTTATGAGGAATCGTTGGATTTGGCAAAATGTACCTCATCCCAGCAATATTCACTGTCAAAACAAGGTTAACTGACAGTACACACACACTTTAAATTTTAAGTGTTTGGATTTAACAAACATCCATTTACGCTTTTTTGTTGTTGATATACCATATTTAAAGAGTAATCTTATTTTACATGGAAGAGCTCTAGTTCCTTCTTTTTTAAGCTAGAGTAGCTACTCAAAAAGACTTTTTTGTTCAGAGCTTAGCCAAATGATCAAATGGGTGGAATGAGACTTAACAGATGCTTCTAAGGTCATCCAAAAATATTGTTTTGTGTAAAATTCATCAGGTTTGTGTGAAATTTTCTGCTGTGATTTCCTTCAGTGCAGTTTTAAAAATTTCCAGAAAGAGAAGTTGTGCATTTCAATAGGCATGACTCTTTTTTGTAAATATAGCCATTCTAGGAGAATTCTTGAACAAATAAATTGTGTGTAGATGTACTTCAGTATAACCCTGATTTAACGTGTCTCAATTCACTGCAAACCCTGATATACCGTGGCCATTTCTTTTACTTCAAATAGGGCTTTACATGTTTAATGTAAACAAACAAAACCCCAATTTACCGCAAACCCTGATTTACTGCAGATGTTTCCTTTCCCCAAACTCCACGGTAAATCATGGTTTTATTGTACTTTGGAAAATATCACTTCTTTCATTGACTATTTTACTATTAAATCTCACTTGCTAAAAATATTGAATTTCAAATATTAACAACCCAACCTTCCTTCAGTAGCAACCATGTCTGCACCCCTTACTGCGGAAGAAGAGATCCTGTTGGCTGATTTCTCTAGAACCGTCCCCAGGAGTACTTCCATCCTCTTCCATCTCAATGCTCTGTTTGTCTCAGCATTGCCAATGTGGTTGTTCTGGAGAATCCAGCAGCTGGAGCTGAACACCTACGGTATCATGTTTGGTATTGTCACCATCATCTCCACATTCCTCTTGTCTCTTGCATACAAGAATGTTAAATATTCTCTTAAACATAAGATTGCACAGAGAAGACACGCTGGAGTTACCGCTGAGGTTATGCAGCAGGTTGCTGATGCTTCCAGCGAGAAGAAGAAGACAGTAAAGAAGGAGAAGGACGACAGAGTCCTCTTCAAGAAGACCGAAGTTGCTGATCTGGAAGCTACTCACTTCAGCATTTTCTACAACAACGCTCTCTTCCTCTTCCTCACTATCATCCTTAGTTTCTACGTCCTGAAAAATTTCAGTCCCGGTGCCAACTACCTCGGATCCTCTGTTACCTCTGCTTGTGTTGTCGCTTTCCTGTCCACTAGCTCCGGTTAAATTACATAGACCTTAATTATTAACTAGGGACACAGCATAATATAATTATAATGCTATACCTACATTGATTGTACTAGACTGGGTAACTGTATATGGTTCTTTTTATCAGATTTTAACACTTGATAATAAATAAATATAACCTATGTTGAAAAATGTCTGTAATATTAAACATTTACGAACATTTTTAACATACACTCACATGTTCCCATTTCGCTTCTGGCTTAACACTAAGTTCTTCCTATACCTAGTCTTGTTGATAAACTTGAAAAAACAAATATAGTTTGTATACAGTTTCTGTTGTTGTTGTTGAAATGATATTGTGTTCATAGTTTTATTGACATTTGGGTTGAAAGATTATGCTGTCTCATTGCTTTCAAACAGTCACTTCTCAAAATTGATCATTGTCTCTTTTAAAAATTGAACCGTCACATTCTCAATATTCTGTAAATATTCAATATTCATGTTGCTATGGTGCCAATTTAGAATTCCCCAGAATTCTTATCTGATGAACCAGCTCAATATAACCCACAATCCACATACACACTGCCACATATAATTATTAAACGTTATTCTAACTTCATTTCAATCCATCTGAGCTGTACTTACTTAACACAACATTTACAAACTGATAAGATCACCCCAAATAAACACCTTGCACCCACACACCTCACGAGTCTCACAATGTAACTTGATACATCACATAGCATACCACGGTAAGCCACGTGTTAAGTCACGTGATAAGTCACACACTCGCTCCCTTACTCACACCACCATTTCGGTTCCTCTCTCTCTCTGTGTTTCGTAGACGTGGCCTCTTGTGACATCATGTTGCAAGTCATGTGTTGCTTTATTGGGGGGTTAGTGTACAGTGTGTGTGTTTGTGTGCTATTGTTATGTTTCATCTTTGTATTCTATGATGTCTAAAACTTGCTGGCGTTTATTGTTATTGTTCAAGCCCTTTTAGCAGTGTGATTGGTTTTTACGCTCCATTTGCATTCCATGGTATCAAAGTTGTTTTAAGTTAAATGACAGGAAGCAAAATTACTAATGATCTTGGCAGCTGTCCAACGAAATGTGGCTAATGTTTATTTAGCACAAGTGTGACACAACTCAATCTAGCTACAACTACTCACCACTTTAACTCTTACGTTTAATTGTAATATCACTTGTAAATACTCGCCTGTAAACACATTGTTGTTATGGGTAACTTTTTGAGCAACATAGTGCATCTTTTTAAAGGGGTCCCCGACGCTAAACTCCTGATGTTGGGACTGGACGCTGCCGGGAAGTCAAGTATTTTGTACCAGCTTAAACTTAACAGATTCATTGGGACCGTCCCAACCGTTGGTATGTCTGGAATGTGTTGTTTTGTGTGTAAGTTGTTTTGTGAAGCTCGTGTCACGTGTGGTGATGTGGCTTGTCACGTGGTGATGTGACGTGTCACGTGTGGTGATGTGGCGTGTCACGTGTGGTGATGTGATGTGACACGTGTGGTGATGTTGTGTGATGTTTTATACTCGTCACTCACTTCACCAGTAATCCAATCCTTTCATTGACACTAATCACCACATCCGATTAATGTATAAAATTGGTTACAATACTTTTACCGGACACACACCGACCTAACAAAGACAAATGAATCTAACTCTATTCTGACGAACTCAACACCTCATCTCGGAATGACCACGACTCTACAACTTGATATAATGTTACCTAATTAAACAATTAACACATTATCTAATTGATAGTAGTGCCACATTATGGGTGGAATGTTCGCTAAACTGTTCTCCGGCTTGTTCGGCAAGAAAGAGATGAGAATATTGATGGTTGGTCTAGATGCTTCCGGTAAAACTACCATTCTTTACAAGCTGAAACTTGGAGAAATCGTCACTACTATCCCCACCATTGGTAAGTTTTATTTAAAATATTTTGTTTGAAGTTTTATTATTTAAGGTATTTTGTTTGAAGTTTATTGGAATTTTGAGTAACGCTCTTGATCAGATTTGAGCAAGTTTTCAGTCCAAGTTCTTATTTAAAAACTTAAGTACGTAACTTCTAAAACTTGCAGCAAAGCTCATGATAATTTCCTCACTCGAAATTATCTTTCAAACTTAATTTAAAGTTTAAGTAGGAACATGATATTCGATACTATATAATATAAATGATGTCAGCACAGCTCCAGTCTGCCCAGAAAATTTATCACACACTTTTTTGTATCACACTGTGTCACTTAGTGCGTATTTGTTGTGCCCACCATTATTATGTTGCTGCTTTTTACTCTAAATATTTACTTTCGGTACTTTAATATTATGAGGCATATGAGTTTATACTGTCAATATGTCACCACCTTCAAAGTCAGTATAATGAACCTCCATTTCTCACTTGTCACGATATTTATTACCTTTAAACATTAAGATGACAGTAATTGACAGTTGACAATTTGAATCCTTACCAGTCTGCCGACAACCAATTTTTAACCGTGTAAAAACCGAGATGGTTTCAATAATGAATTAAAAGTCCTGTTAAGTTGACAGTTAACCTGTTTAACTGTGTGTAAGTTTCAGTGTTATTTCAACTGTCTACTGCCTCTCATATATTATGGTGGTATATGTTGACTGTCAGTGTCCAGTTGCAGTTATACTTCGTTGCGGTTTTAATTCTGGCGAACTTGTCAGATACTCTTAAGGGTTAATTATAGGTGGAATTAGTTAGGAGTAATTAGTTAGGAATAATTAATTAGGAGTAATTAGTAATTAGTAAGGGTAATAGATCTGATTACTAGTTATTACTACTGGCGGGGAGGTGGGCAATATGTTTTCAAAGTGGTTTCTGATTGGATAATATCTGTCACGTGTTAGAGAGCATGTGGTTTACCTCTCCACCAGTATCCAGATATATTATTCATTTGATTGATTTTCCGTTCGATTCGTTAATAGCGTAATTCTGATTCTGAGAAGTTCACAATATTTTATCAGCCCTCTCAGTTTATTATATTGCCTTATGTTGATGATATTTATTAAGCTCAATTGAGAATATTCAGTCTCAATCGAGATTTTTTATTCTACAACAAATCGTAACCTTATCCTTGTATTGAAGCCTGTAGAATAATCTTAAAATAATTTCTGAAATAGCACCAAAATGGGGAAGATCATGAGTCTGATGCGAGGTCTTGTCTCAAAAAAAGAAATGCGTATTCTCATGGTTGGTTTGGATGCATCGGGCAAAACCACCATTTTGTACAAATTCAAGCTGGGGGAAATTGTTACAACTATTCCAACTATCGGTAAGGCGTGTGTTGAGAAAATGTAAAATCCGTGTCACAATCAATTCGATCACGTCTCAACACTGTAATACAATCCGTGTGATACATTGATCAAGTCTAAAATTTGTTCATGTACATTGTACAATATACATAATATGTAGTGATCCTTGTAATGAATTGGATGTTTATAGCTTGACCAGTCAAAGCACGGTGCCCTCCTCCATTTATCATATCCCATACATGAAACCTTTGGTTATTGCTGTATATTTTTACCATGACAAAATAACAAAAAAAATGCGATGATCAACATTTATCACATAAAGAGTGGAAATGTACACGATCCCCAGTCCCCAATTAATCTAACTATGTACACAGTTACACGTATCGTTAATGAAGCTGTAGTTGCTCCACGCCTATTATTACTGTACGAACACACATTTTACTGTCGGTAGCTATAAACTGTAATCTGGTCGTTCTGGAATTGCCTTGACATCGTTATAATTGGTTATATCAACCTAGGATAAAACACACAGACATATATAATATATCCTGATAACATTATCATACTAGTCTAGAATCATGTGTTGTTGAAAACGGTAGGATATTTGTGTCGGGTTTCTACACGATACGAAATAAGTCTTACATCATCTTTGGGTGTCAAGAATCAATAGTTCCCACAGTCAGACAACGAATGAGTTTAAAAATTCCAACAAAATCTTTATAACATCATTGGTAAAACATTTTCGGACATCTTCAGTACCTAATAAAGATAAGGGTTAATACTCCAATTATATCAGAAAATTTTAATTTTAATTCTTTGGGTGTCTACAACGGAGCTATTTCTATATTTTATTACATATAATCATGGTGATCCGTGATGCTAGATGACATTCTAATCGTTTCTTGTAAAATTCCACATGTAATAATGTTTCAACCAGACACTCAACTACACACATACTACACACGTACTACACACATACTACACACATACTACACACATACTACACACATACTACACACGTCTCATTTCAATTACACGTCAAATATACACCGTGTCGAGTGTGTCGCCCCCCTCATACCAGCGTTACACAGGGGTTACACACCTGGTTTTGTGTCCCATAATTGTGTCCCATTGTTAACAATCAACACTTGTTATTAGATCTGATAACAGTTGTTATAAGATGTATATGTGACTATTGTAACTGATGTGACTATGTATGTGACTATTGTAACTGTTGTGACTATGTATGTGACTATTGTGTGTGTTTGTGTGAATATCGTTAGTTACCAGTTAGTTGTAAAATAGAACTCCAGCGGGTACTAGCTACTAGATGTGAAGATTAAATGTACAGTCTCAATAATTGAGGGATTGAAATGTGAAATCCAGAATTTTCTGGGTTAAATGGACTACCTTATACGTTTGGGGGGGGGGGTACCAATGGCATAAAATGGCATAAATGGCATACGTTTTATGGCATAAATGGAAATTTTTATTGGCCAATTCTCCATTTATGCCATGAATTTAGGTCTTCATATTTGACTTTAAATTCGCAAATTATTATTAGTACTTGAATAAGAGACATGTTTCATGCTTTATAACGCTTGGAATGATCGTTAAAGATTCATATGACAAATAAAGAAAATAGAAATGTATTATATCAAAAATGGCATAAATGGCATATGTTTTATGGCATAAATGGAAATTTTTATTGGCCAATTCTCCATTATGCCATTTATGCCATTGGTACCCCCCCATACGTTTCAATGTTCTATATAATGCAATTTGCATAGTCTAGCGGATCCATTGCATATAATTATGCAGAACGTCCTACACTCGAATTTTTCCAGAATTAAAAGTTCTAGAAGTTTGAAATCTTGATTATAACCAGTATCGTGTGTATTAGAATAATCATTTTGTTGTGTGCAACTAAACAAGTTGTGGTGAATATTTTTGTTTTGTCCAAGAAATTAAGAAACTTTCTTCATACTTCTGAATAAACTTATTTTCGAGCTCCTAAAGTTCGTTATATGCAATACGTTTCTTGAAGTCATGAGACATTTCCCATTTATTTATAATGTGATAACAGTAA